TTTTAGAATATTTCAAGCATATTGGTATAATATTCTTTTGAGAACATAACTATAATGTCACAGAAACATTCTTTGAATGTGAGAATATACATTTCAAGTATATTTCCAGAATCAAACAGGATTATTCTTTTCGGGATGTACTGAGAATCTCATAGGTATATTCTAAGAATATCCTTATGGATTTCCCAGGAAGTTCTTGGGTATTGCAAACAGTATTTCTACAATCTTTTCGCAGAACATTCTCAGGACATTCGCAATGGTTTGGCGAACATTCTAGGCATATTCCTCCTAAAAAAAGAACATTCCCATTACATTCTAAAGATGCAATTTTGTTATGCGGGCAGTTCTCTCAAAAACAGCAGATAACCAAAAACAGTCATTAGTGGGTTTTTAGGAAAATGCAAATAAACTGTTCTCACCTCTTTTTATGGTTTTATTTATCGGGTCTTCAGAAAAAAAAAAACAATCAAAGATTGCTTTGATTACGAAAACGTATGTCGCATTGTTGTTTCTTTATTGGTTCGGATTTTTGACATGACATTTTGACATAAAAGTTTATTGACAAAATTAAAGAAAAATATTGCTAAGACGTACGTTGAAAAAACCATAGCAATCTCTGATTGTTTTTTTTTTTTTTTGAAGACCCGATATCAAACAATTGAAATTTATTTATCTTTTGTAGTATACCATTACCTTTTTAAACAACAAATCTTCTGAAAAACGAAATGAAAAGCAAGTAGGACCTACATTGTGGAAACTTACTCAATTTTACTTACTTAACATACGCCCGACAATAGCAAATATTTAAGGAAAGTTGTGATATGTAAAATAAACGAAACATTTGTGAAACGTCTACTCTACTACTATTATTAAAGTAAATCGTACCGTTCTCGACCTGGCATTCTCGAGGGGAAAGAGAATGGCAGAGAAACCATCGATCGAACATTCCTCGAAAATCAAAACATACTGTGTCATTTTAATTATAACTGTGAGTTAATGATAAAAGTTTAAATTATACTCTGTCCAATCAACCTACGGAGTGACAAACAACAAAACCTTCAAAAAGGTTTGTTACTATTGGTCATTTATCAGCCCGCTTTACACTGTATAGTGATGTTTTGTAAGATTTTGAAATAAATGAATGAATGGCATAAATCAGTGTCCAGTGTAAACCTGGCCGCCGATTTGACTCTGTCATACTCCGTAGGTTCGTTGGACAGCGTTAAGGTACCGCTGTGCTTGTGCTAAAATTTTAATTCCACACACTACATTCAATCAACACTACCTATATTCAAAACTGAAGAGTTTTTGGTTAGTTAGCTCATCTCCGGCAGGTGCTGAGGGCCTGGTTACGGGAGACTACTCAGCTATAGTTGTTATTTTGAGCCAATATCTCTAGATTGATTTTTCAATTTGTTTGCTGGTATATTCGCTCGTCAGGGTAGGAAAGTGTTAGTAGATTCAACAAAAACCCTAATGTACCCTCTGAATACCAAAAATTACAATCCCAGCACAAAATACAGCACATAATTTCTTTGCTTTTAATTTACTTTTTTATCTGAGTTGTTTACAGCATGAAACGATTTTTGTGAGATACATGAACAATGCAACAAAATAACAATTATTCAACTTACCTGTGATCGCTCCGTATGACACACAAACTAATCACAGATTGAATTAAACAATCAGTTTAACACAAAATAAAAATTGAATATTGAACAATCGAGGACAAGTGGTCTAAGGTACCAGCCCAGCTTCTTCCCCAGTCTAGTCGTATAGTTCCCCATTCTCTCCTACCTACCCTTTTGGTACGCTTTTCGTTGCGGCGCGCCCCGTTCCCATAAACTTTACAGCGCATTACATGGTTGCAATATTTACTTTTGTTCAGTAAACGTTTTTTTTTTTAAGTTAAGATTTGAAGAAATAATATTTTAAATAGGTGGTTTTCCTCACCCTTGAATACAAAAATGACGTGTTCGAGCGTTTCTTTTTTTTTTTTTTATTCGACCTTAAAATACCCCAAAACGCCTGAAGCAAATAATTTGAATGGTAAATTTTAACAATAAAATCGGATTTCTTCTTATAAACAAATAAAGATGGAGAAAAAGGAAAAAAATAAACCTTTCAATAGGTATGGTATTTAGGTACCTACAGCTGCTTCTATGGTTTTTGTCTGTTACCAAAAATGTATTCGGTCTTTTCCTAAAATTGTCGGTACAATCTGATTAATTTCTGACCTCGGAAGTAGATAATTGATCTATTGTTCTTGAGAGCTAGAGAGCTATTTGGGGAATGTGAGTTCTGGTTCTGATGAGCTGGGGTTCTATAAAACCGGGTTGAACAATAGTTGAGATGTTTTAATTTAATAAAAAAGATCACATTACTTTAAATTGAGTTCTCCCAGGTCCATATTGACAAAGATGTCAATGACATCATGGCTAATTCAACTAAAGTCGTAAGAATTCGCTTGATCGACATGATTCTTGATTCGTGCTGGAGCTGGAGGTAGATCGTAAATTCTTTCTCTTTGGGGAAGATTCCTGACCAGGTGGTTGATTCTCTTCTTGGCTTTGCCGATTTATTACGTGGCCTACTTTTACTTTAATTTTGAAATTGAGTTTCGTTTTGCTTTCCTTGTTCTGGCTTGGTGCCGATTTAACATAAATAAAGTTAAAATTGACTGGTACGGCTACGATTTATTCAACTTTCCACTCAAATGCCATCCAACAACAAAGGTAAGATTTCTCAGTTTTTTTAGTTTTTTATGCTCCCTTCCGAAAACCATGCTTACTCAGAAAATGTAACTATTACCATTAATTGTCCTCACTTACCCCTTGTATGATTTACATCAGAAATCCTTTGCTTATACTTGATTCTGTTTAGGCCTGCTTATAACTGCGTATATCTACTTATACCTGCTTACACCTGCTTACGCCTGCTTATATTTGCCCACATCTGCCTTTATGTGCTTATAGGACCCGCCTGTCTGCATGTCTGTTTAGGCCTGCTTCTACCTGCTTATACTTGCTTGCTTGAGACCGCCTAAGTACCCAAACCCCAGTTCTGTATCACAGGGCAGACTTCCCCTATACCAGACCATCCTGCGTTATATGTTCTGGTCCCTTATTCTTGACTCGTAGGGAGTAGAATTGGCGAGGGAAATGGGCGTGGTTCTCTTAAATTGAATAAAGTGGTATTCTTGAAAAAAAACTTAGGGAGGGAACGACTCTCCGGGGAGCTCGACGTTCTCCGAGAATGTACCATAAGAACGACAGCTCCCTATTGATTTAAACTCAAAATTAAAATTCGTGTTTTCTTGGTCGTTCTTAATGTTGTTCTGTTGTTGCGTTTTTCATAAAAGAAATCATGAATACTGAAGATTTCAATAACCTAATTTTTAATGATATCCTTATCGAGGATATTGAAGATGCCGAAGATGCCTTGGAAATCCCAAGAGATGTGCTACCTAGGAGTAATGCATTTCGCCTCTCCGATAGAAAATGTGTGCAATTATTCAGAGTTTCCAAGAATTTATGCAATGAAATCATAGGAATAGTTACCCCATTTGTTGTTCAGCCAACAAGGGTATCAGCACTATCAACAGTTACAAAAGTGCGTACCTATACATATTTTGGAATTACATTGTAGAAGTGATATAAAGCCCTCAAAATTCATTTTCCGTCCTTGACACTTTCTTTCTTCTAGAAAATGGCTGTCCATTTATCCAAATTGGAACATTTAATATTATATTTTTACCACACTGTACATATTAGAATTAATTAATTATAAGCAACCTACTTTTATTATTGCAAATGAGGATCATCGATATGTGCAAAATCAGCATTTATTGTATATAAAAGGCGATCAATTTCATTAATAAAATCAGATTCAAACTTATTGTTGTTTCTCTTATTTAAATTGTACCCAAGTCACCATTGGTCTAGCAACGCTAGTAGAGTCGTGAGACTGCGCTCTAACAATTACTTTTGCTTTAGCTTTATTGTAGCAGGTGCTCTGTCTGGTTACATTCGGCCCTTCTTTAAACCTGTAGCAAGTGCTTTGTCTGGTTACAGCTTTTAATTTAACCCTTAAAGCAAGTGCTTTGTCTGGCTGGGGTCCTCTTTCCAACTTACAACAAGTGCTGGTCTGGTTGTAAATTACCTATCTTACGCCCTAGGGCAAGTGCCGCGACTTTAAGACCTGTCTGGTACTAAGGCCCTTCTGCTCTTCTATCCTAAAGCCATCAGGATCAAGCAGAAAATACCATCCAGAGAACCAAAGTCTCCTGGAGCGTACAATGGCAAAATTATGCAAAACTAGAAATTTCAAGTTTAAAGTACCCTCGCACACCGTGTATGTTTTGTATAAAGCTTTTTTACGTCTAGCTAGTTTTAATTGTGAACATAGCAAGTAAATTTAAACTAGTGGATCCCAAGTTACTGTTTAAACTTGTTCATGATAGGTTTGAAGCTAGGTGTCATTATAACACTAAATTTGAATTATTTCATAAACAAAAAAGATATAAGAAAAAATCCAAAAACGGTTCGAGGGGATGAGCATAATAATCATTCGGGTATACCTAGAAAAAATAAATAAAAATAATTGTAGTAATGGGGTGGCAACAAAAATTTTGAAATTTTACCGCACTTCCTATATCACCCTGTATAAAAAAAAACAAATTCTATATTTGTGTGTGTGAAGCAGATGATTAACAAGGGATCGCTTTCAAAAATGATGAAAACGTTTATTTATTTAAAAGTTGTCGCGTCTCAAAAATTGGTTTTTATGCTTGGAACGAACCTATTGTTGAGTAGTTTACATTTTACATACAAAAGTTAACAAAAAGCTTATGAAAGCATCTCTTGTAAATTACTGATATCAGTAGCCATTTGGCTCACTGAAATACTTTTTGAAACCTGAATTTATTCATTATAATAATGTTTTTTATTATTATAATAACTTTTCACAGCCTCAATTTTTGCTTTATAATGACTCTATACCTTTTTCGCTGATAGCAAGGAAATTTTGATTATTTCGGAGAGATTGCTCCAATTTGCCATATTTTGTGATTTTATTCCTAGTTCCTGTGCTTCGACTAGGTGTAGTCTCATGATTTGTATCAACAGCAACAGCATTACTTGTAGCATCCTCGGTGTCCATCACATTGTTAGTATCTATAGCTGCCTTAAATAAAATTTCAAAATTTCACTTTAAAATATATTAATACAACAAAAAAACTTGAAAGAACAAACTTCAAAGCATTTTAAAAACATATTTGGATAAAATACTTACAGTATTTTTATCAGCTGGGACTGGGATTAAAAATTCCTCAAAAACAATTTGCAGCTCTGGGGGTCAATTCTTGAATATTCTCGCATACAAAAATTGGTACGAATTCGAATGACAGCAACGTAAATTGAATAGGGAATGTTCGAAATCATCTCAATTTTCGCATGCGAGATTATTCGAGAATTGGGCCCCTGGAACATCCCTATTTCCTTCGAAAGCAACGTATAATGATCTCAAAAAATTTTTCATCAGTAGTTTTGTCTCCATCTTTCAATGGTGGTGGCAATGGAGGACCCCCTCCTGTTCCATAACTATGCTGTTTAGATTTTTTGTTCTTTACTTGTTTTTTCTTTAAGTCTACCCATGTTTATAAACAAATATTGATAGGTATAATAACAAACTTTTGAAATCGATAAGGGTTAGGTAGAATAACTTACCTTCCGCCACTGCGTCTACTCTTTATTTGCCCCTCCGGGGATGGCATTTAATATGCAAGCTACTTGTTTCCACAGGGCCATGCTTACAGCATGCGTTTAGGTGGATGTAAATTTTCCCAGTCGCGGCCATTGGAATTGGCACACACTTTAAAAACGCACCTCGTATTGCATCAAAATCTGACTTTTTTAACAAGCCGGTAATGCCAAAACTGTGTCAAAGTGATAAGTCAGTGGCGAACTAGAACAGTTTTATTAAGATTGAAAAAAAAATGTACCATATTTTAACCAACGATGAAAAAGCCAAAGCAATTCTAATGATTTCACAAGGGAAAACTATATGTGCAGTCGCCTTAACGCTTGGTTGTGGAAGTATATAGTTAAATTATGAATTTGAAGAAAAAATGGTTTGAAACTGCTTCTATCACGAACCTACAACGACGAAGACAACCAAGAAAAACAATTCGACAAGAGGATCAATCTCTTCTTGATAAGGTCGTTTCATATCCATTTATTTCGGAAATTATAGAGCCAAAGAATTGAGTAGTTTCCCAGCTCCAGCTAGAACTGCGCGAAGGGCGCGAAGGCCTATTAAGGAAACTGGAATTAAATGTCATTCAGCGGCTCGTAAACCATTTTCAGTGCAAAGAAATAGACAGTGCCGATCACAGTTTGCCCAGTTATTTTCTCAAGAACCTGAACCTTTCAGCAATATAGTTTTCTCTGACGAAAATGTTTTTCAGTCATGCAATAGTAGCCCAACATTAAAAGTTTATAGGCCACGGCGAACCAGGTATGAGGCCTTCATCCAATTTAATCAGTCAAGCGGAAGATTTTCTGTCCATACATGGGCCTGTATAAGTGCTGAAGGTCCAGGGCAGATTTATTTTATTGATGCACGTCTGACTAGCGAGAAATACATAATTAGGAGATGTAATAATGCTCCATCCACTAATGAACGCTTTGGATATAATTTTACGTTCCAGCATGTAAGATCATGTTAAGAGCGAAAATGTTTGGGCCTACCTTATAAAAAAAATTTACAATACAGAATTTAGACTTGCTTCGAAACAAGATGCTTTAACATTATTAACAGACAACTACAATTTTCGTAATTCAATTTACTCAATGCCACGAAGATTGCAAGCAGTAGTTGATAAAAATGGAGGTGCTACCAAATATTAACATTTTTTGTAAGGAGTTAGTTTTTACTAGGCTAGATACAAAAGGATTTTTTATTTTTTAGTTGGGGTCCAAAATTGAACTTGGTGGACATAACATTACACACGCCACTGACCACATTTGTTGGTTACAGTTTTTGTCAGATTTTGATGCAATACGAGGTGCGTTTTTTAAGTTTGTGCCAATTAGGCAATCTCAATCACGTGATTTTCTAATGGCCGTTCAGGTCAAATATTGCAGTGACAAGCCGGTGACGTTCATAAGGAGAGCATTTGTGTTCTGGCCCTTGTTGCTTTCGAAGTGAATTTTATGTGTTTCTACGTATTTTTTATTGGTTTTGATCATATTGTTGTTTTCATAGTGAATTTTATAGTTTTTGGTATTTCTACGTATTTTTTAGTGTTCTGGCCCTTGTTTTCAAAGTGAATTTTATAGTGTTTCCTCGTATTTTTTAAATTAATAATAAATTCTGAGATGGAGAGTGAATATCTTAAGGTATTATTATTAAGGGAAAATCGAGCCTCTGTTAGATCCTCAGATTAACACATGAAATAGATAGGTTTATTATGATTAAAAGATGCCCCAAACATTGACTCCCATTCTAAGATCACTTGCGGACACTTACTGCAGATGTGCCATATTTATAAATTGTCCTAAGTTGCAGGGAAAATGGAATTGGAAATTGAAAAAAATATATCGTAAATATAAAAACCTAGATAGGTATATGCATGTACAATTATAACATAAAATATTGCGGTGCTTTCCAAAATTGAATAGGAATAATTAATATATAAAATAATAATCTATTATCACAATAAAATTTGAATAAGAATTTGTGCTAGCTGAAAATGGCAACACTGCCTAAAATCTCGGAATCTGGTTGTATTCATAGGAACGCCCACCTGAATCGTTTCATCTTTGTTAAGATAACCAGATAAAGAAGGATGCAAATATTGCCAGGCAAGCCCGACCAGAATCGCGAATGCGCTCTAGTATTCGTAGTAAAAAATGTCAAACGGGCTTTATTTGTAATTGGCCCGCATTGTCCGCAATCTTATCCCCACTCCATGTAGTTCATTCATTAATCCACTATTGTCATTTAGGATTGTTCGCCGCAGAAACCAAACGATTTTATGAATGACTTGCCCTCTCTATTTATGTAGTGTTACTCTGAGGTTAGATCCTTTCTTTTAATTGCAGTAATCCATAAAGCCCTGCGTTGTTTTGATAATTCATTTTTGTAGATCAAAAGCGTATGATTCCACCGAGAGTAGCACCTACCAGGCGAACCCGTCAAACAGACGGTAACCATGAATTTACTGTCAAACTAGAGGCACCAAGAACCTCATTATATCAGAAGCCGATGATTTAAAATAGCAGGAACTGAATAAAATTTCACATTATCCCTGTTACCTCGACTTCCACACCCAATTACGATGCAAATCGCTAGCATTTTAATTAACACAATACCTATAAACACGCAAAAAAACACAAAATCCGATAATTCAAATATTGACGTTTGTCCAGAATGTGACAGAATCAATGACATACAGAATAAACAACACAGTGCTTGACCCAATGCTTGACCCGAACTTCCATATTGAATTTCGTTTTTGACAGGTCAGTAGATTGCCTAATTCCAATGGCCGCGACTGTACATTTCCGGTCTATCATACACAAAATCAACTAAGATTTCCTTTTGTTTGGAAGGAAGAGCCTTAGCCATTATAATTATATAAATTTGGCATATTACTGAATTTTAACTTTAACAACAAAAACAATAGGGTTAAGATAATTACTTGTCTGTCAAAATTTTCTGCATTTTGATTGGACGAACAACACGGCAACCCTGTGCTCCACAGTTACCTAATTCTGTTGATCCCTCCTCGACATTCAAGAAGACGAAAAATTGCTCCCGGGGACTTCAAACGAGGGAGTGTTCCCTATAAGGTCCCGGGAGTGTTTCCTCTCTCGCCGTCAAAAATACGGCCCAAGATATCGGGTCTTCAAAAAAAAAAACCAATCGAAGATTGCTTTGATTTCGAAAACGTACGTCGCATTATTGTTTCTTTATTGTACAGGATTTTTGACATGACATATTGACATTAAAGTTCATTGACAATAATAAAGAAAAATATTGCCAAGACATACATTTAAAACCATAGCAATCTTTGATTTTTTTTTTTTTTTTTGAAGACCCGATACCAGTGTAACCTGTGGCAGTTTAAGGGAACAATTGGTTGGGTAAGCCCCTTTTCATTATCAACAGTGAGTTCTGATTCCTGAGTAGTAATTAAAGTACCTATAGCTTAATTCCTAGGTGAATAGATGTATATTTAGCTATAGGTTAGTTTCATATATTATGAATCAGTACCTTTTAAATTGATGATCTCGGAGACTGGCTAATTTAAATCAGAAATCCTTGGCATATTTTTTTTTTTGTGAAGATTCTTCCTATATCAAGGTAGTACGTACACTCGTTCAAAGTTATTTTTTTTTAATTAACTTTATACAGTGTGATTTTTTAAGTGTGCAACATATGGGATTTTTTTTTGGTAATAGCACAATCAAAATACAAACAACGCCAAAAGTTGGTGCATGTCTGATAATCATATTAGGTGCACTTAGAATGGTTTCAAGTCAAACAGCATACAGGGTAGCTCAAACAATATCAAAGCTAGTACCGTAAAGTACCCTTATTTTAGAAAATTCAGCAAAATGTTATAGAGAATAGTTGTTTGGAATTAAAAGTTATGCCTAAATACCAAAACATAGCCTCCTGAGATTTTTTTTATTTTCTTTCGAAAAAAATCTATAATTTCTATATTTTTTTTATTTTTTATTTCCGCCCTTAATACTTTCAAAAATTAATTAAAATCAAATCAATTTTACATAACTTTGTTCAAATTCAAGCATATTTGTAAAGTTAACTCAGATTTTTAATTTTTTATGGAATCACAAAATTCATGTTTGTTGCAATGATATTCAACACAACTTTAAAATGTCGCAATTTTTTTTTTTTAACAAGTTAAAACATTACTAATGATAATAGCCATACTAAAAAAACTCTCCTTAAAGTGCAAAAGTTTAATTTTATTTAAGTAAATATTAGTAGAATTTTGATATTTTTTGAGTCACCCTGTATGCTGTTTGACTTGCAACCATTTTAAGTGCACCTAATATGATTATCAGACATGCACCAACTTTTGGCGTTGTTTGTATTTTGATTGTGCTATTACTAAAAAAAATCCCATATGTTGCACACTTAAGTAATGACAC